CCCCAAAACCCCAAAACCCCAAAACCCCAAAACCCCTATAGATAAAATTTAATTTAAAATTGGAAAAAAACATAAAACATTATACTAATAAATCAATTTCTTTAAAAATACATTCGTTAAATTTACAAACTATCAAAAATTCATTCAATATGGACCCTTAGTCAAATTAAAATGTTCCCTCAATCGTGGAGGAAAAAATAACTAAGCACAATGGTGACATTCAAATACGCTAGTACCTCAAAGGCAAATTCTTAGGTAAAGGAGGTTTCGCGAGATGCTATGAATTTACTAACCAAGAAACAAATGCAGTTTGCGCAGCAAAGGTAGTAGTTAAAGCTTCCTTGACAAAAAGTAGAGCGAAATAAAAGTTGATGAGTGAGATCAAGATTCACAGGTCAATTCGCCACCAGCACGTTGTCCAATTCTAGCACTTCTTCGAGGACGCAGAAAATGTCTATATTTTGCTTGAATTGTGCCAGAACCAAAGTTTGAATGAGTTGCTAAGAAGAAGAAAGAGGTTACACGAGCTTGAAGTATTATGCTATTCAAGCTAGATCATCAATGCGCTCAAGTACCTGCACGCTCACAGGATTATTCACAGAGATTTGAAGCTAGGTAACTTATTCCTGAATGAAAAGATGGAGGTCAAATTGGGAGACTTCGGGCTGGCTTCCAAATTAGACTTTGATGGCGAGAAGAAGCGTACTATTTGTGGTACTCCAAACTACATTGCCCCTGAGGTACTTGAGGGTAAATCAGGCCACTCCTATGAAGTAGATGTTTGGTCTCTTGGTGTCATTATCTACACCTTAATAATCGGAAAGCCTCCCTTTGAAACTTCAGATGTCAAGACAACTTACAAAAGAATCAAGATGAATGCCTATAGTTTCCCAGACCATGTACCGATTTCAGACGCTGCCAAAGACCTTATTTCAAAGATTCTTATTGGTGATCCAAGCGCTAGACCGACTCTTGATGAAATCCTAAATCACGATTTCTTCAGAACTGCTAATATTCCAAAGGCTTTGCCACCATCTTTTCTGGCTTGCCCTCCCTCAAGTCAATATATTAAGTAGCACATGCCATAATTAGCTAATTACCAATCAACATAGATTCAATAAATTCAAAGACTAGAAAGTACAGCCCCAGCAAACATCGCAAATCCATCTGGCTTCTAAACTGGCACCTCAAGACCATCAGTTCAATAAAACCCATCTTAGAATATGATGATGACTGATAGAGGAGGAGCTTTCAGAAGACCAAATCAGCAATCATCTGAGAAGTAACTTCCTCAATCCTAAACAAGACCGATGAGCTCAGCAGATAATTAACCATAATTCTATCCCCCAAGCATCAATACAATTCAATCGAATTAAAGGTTACTCTCTGCTCCTTAAAACGTCAAAGCACAGGGTGATTCAATCAAACCACCTAATGTTTGGGTAAAGAAGTGGGTAGATTATTCAAGCAAATATGGGTTAGGTTACTTATTATGTAATAATAGCACAGGAGTCTTCTTCAATGATTCGACAAAGATTCTAATGGATATGAATGGAAAAAATTTCCACTATTTTGAAAGAAAAGCAGTTAATTCATAAGAAAAGCAGGATGTAATGACAACTCACTAACTTTCAGAGTACCCCAAAGACTTATAAAAGAAAGTGACTCTACTTTAACACTTCAGATCTTATCTTGAAAATACAAATCAAGCACAAAACATTCCAGGATCCTCAGGTCAAAGTTAAGACGTTGATATGGTGGATGACTCCTCAAAGCAACCTTCAAATGTCTATGTTAAAAAATGGATGAGAACCAAACACGCAATCATGTTCAGATTAAGTAATAAAATAGTGCAAGTCAACTTCCAGGACCACACTGAAATTCTTCTAAACTCCGAGAGCAGATAAGTTACCTATGTAAATAAGAAGGGAGAGCGCTAAACGTTGCCCTTGAATGCTGCACTTGAAAGTAACAACGCTGAAATGACTAAAAGACTTAAATACACCAAAGACATTCTAACTCACATGCTAAGCAGCAATAATAACCTAGCTTCAGCAAATGGCACTGGATCATCGTAGGTAAAAGGATAAAATCAACAGCCACTAATGAGTGCACATACTAAAAGAGGAGCAGAGCCACCACTATCAGATATGAGAGGAGGATTAAGCTCAGGAGTGCCAAGCTCTCAAACCAACAGAAAACCTTTCAATGTTCTCAATTGAAATTAAATATCATGACTGATTCATTAATCTTCACGATTTCAACTTCTAATTATCGCTATACATAATTAATTGCACCTAATTGCCAATTATTCATATATCATTTGCTTCAAGGGGGTTTTGGGGTTTTGGGGTTTTGGGG